GCTAAACCCAAAAAGACTCTGAAACTCAAGGGAATCACCAAAAAGCTTGATGTGTAAATCAAAAAGATCACTTGATTGGCAGCCCAGCTAGCCAATTTTGATTGAATGGCCGAAGAACTCAGAGGGAGTTATAATCACACTTCCTCCCCCTTTTTGCACTCACTCCCACACTCTCCTCTCTGAGGGGAGTGTGGGAGTGAGTGCAAAAAGGGGGAGGAAGTGTGATTATAACTCCCTCTGAGTTCTTCGGCCATTCAATCAAAATTGGCTAGCTGGGCTGCCAATCAAGTGATCTTTTTGATTTACACATCAAGCTTTTTGGTGATTCCCTTGAGTTTCAGAGTCTTTTTGGGTTTAGCTTCACTAGAATTCTCAGTAGCTTTGGCCGGGGTGTCTTTTTTTCATTTACAAATTCATCAGCCAGACCAGTATCTGATAGTCTGTGTTCTTGTAATCACTCTGTGATTTGTAATCCTTGTCTTTCAAAACACCAACTGTCACCGTGTGGGGATTGGAAGCTGATTGAATTTCAGTTGAAGGGTCAATGGGTATGTTTTCTTCTTCCTCAAGAAGCCTTCCAAGCACTGGGAAGAAGCCTAGAACTGATTCCTTGGTTTTTCCAGGAGGTAGTGTTTTGAGGGACAGGGCCTCCAATCCAGCATTCACAATAAATGCTATTTTATGGCAAAAGCAGCAAATGTGCATGTTAGTTGGATCCCAGGAGTGTTCTGATTTGTTTGTGAGGTCATTGTTGTTTATTAATTCATACATGGCACTGGCCATCATATTGTTGTTTGCACCCAAATCAGTAGTCTGGGCCAGCATTTTTTGATAGAGATTTTTCTTTTTGAGTAAAGTAGCAATAGGAAAAGCAAGAAGATGCCCATAGTGCTTCCATGGGATCATCTTGAGGGAAAGATGACAGAAAAAATAATCCCAGTTTGAGTTGACGTAAGCAAAAGCAGCACCAATGAAAGCAAACCTATTACCCTTTGTTGTCCAAACATCATGGAGAGGGTAAATTTGGTGTCAAGTTTCTGTTCAACAGAAAAAAAGAAGAACAAAATTAAATCAACTTGAATTCTCATTACACATATGAAAACAAGCATACCTCGAGATCATCAAAGAAAGCAGTCTTGAGTATCAAGTATAGTTTCTTGTACTTGTCTGCTGACCACCGTTTTCCGTAGAGCAATGCTTTGTTGTTGGAATATTGGAAGGCGGTGTAAGACTCAATAGTGGTTGTGAAACCCTTTTGCTGAATGGAGAAGGGGATGGTGGAGTTGCAAGATCTGCCCTTCTATGCTATCAGAACAACAAGACCACCAAGCTCAGCTTGGCAGTTTATATATTGTGATAGAGGATAGTTTGAGATGAAGCTGTCAAATGATACGTATAACTGTTAAAGGTGTTGATGGTGATTGTTGTTGATGATGTTGTTGTTGATGAAGTTGTTGATAGAGGTGTCAATGATTGTTGTCGAGGTTGAGGCTTGAACGCAGGTCCTTGAGGTTGAGGGTATATAAAGTTAAAAAGGGGTGATTTGGAACCAAGGCGCTGGGCACTGGGAGCACTATGCTTCAACCAGGAATGGAACAGGGGACTGGGCACTTGGTAAGATGATGATGATATGAAAGTGTTATGAATATATTGCAATAAAATAAGGGTGGTTATATAACTGTGACTTGTAATATAATGGGTGGTGATTGTAAGGGTGGTTGAGATGATCTGGTCCACTGGTGGGATGATGAAAGGTACAACTGGCAGGCAGAGGCCTCCTTATATAGACAAAAGTGAGGGATTTTAGCTCCAGGGTACATGCAGGTGAGGGAATTTAGCTGGCCTGAAAATCCAATGAGGGAATTTAGCTAGTCTAATACATGCAGGTGAGGGAATTTGGCTGGTGAGAGCACTGCCTTGAGGGATTTTGGCTAGCCTACAAGGTCCTACTACAAAGGAATGCATGTGCACCTACAAAGGAATTCAATATGAAATATAAGCCAGTAAAGGAATTCAATATGAAATATGCATCCAGTATTCAAAATGAGACGTGGTCAGAGTAAATAAGCCAAGAGATATCCTGTGATAGGTTGAGATAAGTGTAACTTCTGAACTAGTAGAGATAAGAGGGTAGTTGTAGTGAGTGAGTAGGGGTTATTTTACCTCAGGAATCCATTTTTGATGTTATTTTTACCATATCTTCAATATTTAGATATATAATAATAAATTTTTATATTTTTGGCATAGAAACACAGGAATAATTACCACAGCGGCAGGTAGATATGGATCTTCAATACAAGCCCAGGCAAGGGCCTGTCTGATTTGCCAGATCATGATAGTGTGATTTATGACAGGGTTGACAAATACAGGCTTTTGATGAGGGAACATGTTGATCATTGGTTGGTTTGTATTGTTCAATTGTTTCTCTGCAACCAAGGGCGGTAATTTTATTCTGGCCTTCTTGGCCTGATCACAATTGACACAGCCTTTCACATTCCTGCCTGCTTGGTTGGATCAATCACAATGGGTTATAAGATTACAATCAGTTGATTCATGTCGGCAATAAACCTTGGAGCACCATCTACATTTAAAATTCAAGGGTTTTTTGCCTGTTTCACCTTCCTTGAAAAAAGGTCGATAGAAATAATCAAGCGGATCAGCATATTTTTCCTCAAACTTTTTTTTCTCCTCTCTAGGTCTTATTTTGATTGATCCATCGCCAGAATCTTGATTGTAGTCGTAATCTTCAGCAAGTTCAACTTCAGAGGATTTGCCCTTTTGGTAATCCAAACATAACATGTAAAAGGCCCTTGATTAATCTCTGGCTTGCTAACTCAACTACAAGGTATGTAAAGGTAACTACTTCCCAGCTGCAGACTTCTTGCCATTCCCCTTTGCACCCCCATTTGGAACTTGAGTTCTCTTGGGGGCTGCGGGCTTCTTTTTGGCAGTCCTCTTCTTACTTTTCTGAGATTCATCCCTGGCAGTGTGATTGGACCGGTCGGTGTCTGAAGTAGTGGCCGCCGGTCTTTTTCGAGAGCGGGGCTGAGTAATTGATACATGAGAGTCTGAGGATGGGGTGACGTACCACTGATACCAAAGTAGCACATGAACAACAACACAGTTGGGATTGGTCACTTTGGTAGCCATCATCCTCAGCGGATTCAGAAGGCTGATTGGTGCTGGTGTTTATTGATCATTCAGTCATGGTTGGATGATTTGGGAAAGCAGTGTGATTTAAATGAACAAAAGATTAAATTTATGCCAATGGGAGTGTTTGAGGATGTTTGCTCAATCCTCAAGCCACCAAGCCATTCCCAAAAGAAAATTTTCATTGCATTGGGGCCAGAGCCAGGGGTTAAACGTGGTATTACAGCCCGTTTATCTTAGTTACTTTATCTGGCAGCAGGACAAACTAAAAAAAAAAACCCGTTACACTACTCAGATGACCAAAAAAAGGACGTTACTAGCAACAGTAATGCACAAAATGGTAATGAGGATAGCTATGTTGCTCAGATTGCCTAGGTAACATAGAGTAATGTAACTACCCTTTGTTGCCGGTGGTTAGGATTGATTAGGATTATGTACTGTGTCTTGATCAGTAGCTTCTGAGCACAATGACCAACCACTGCAATAGCCCTGCCAGCACCTGGCAATGGCATGACTGCTAACTTGGAGAGGGAACAATGCCCATGCCATTGCCAGTGGGGTTGGCTTGTTCCTGCTCCATCCTATCATCTACATACCATACCATTCCATCTTTCAATTTCAATACATAAAATACAATTTTTTTCTTTCTACAAATTATTTCAAAGTATGGCAACCAGTCAACCCCTGGCGGCAGAAACCCCTGCATTTGACTGGAGGAAGGAAATTAACACCCCCCTTGGAAAGTGACAGTTGCCAAGGGTGGTGATAATCTCCTTCCTCCACTCAAATGCAGGGTTTTCTGCCACCAGGGGGTGACTGGTTGCCATACTTTGAAATTTGTACAGTGAAAGAGAAAAAAAAAAGTATTTTATGTATTGAAATTGAAAGATGCAATGGAATGGTATGTAGATGGATTTGCATGAACAAAGGGAATCATCATTCTGCAGCATTATTTTCTGTTGGACTAATGTTGGGCATCTCCAGCCGGGTAAATGTTTGGTGATGCATTGAGAGCACTTATCTGTGTCTGATGGGTGGTATGGATTGATATCGAAGCTGGCAAAGAGCAAGATTCGAGGTGAAGGTTAATTTGCAAAACTCTGACCATTGCTTGAGAAACTGCAGGAGATTGATATTAGGTTCTTGATCAAGCAAGAGCGACAGAGGTTATTGGAAACGATAAACCTAAAATTCACCTGCCCCAGAATTCTCATAGCGTCGGAACTAGAGGAGAAAAAGGAGCAGAAACAACCAATTAGGAAAGGTGAAAAGAAATGAGGAGGGCAGGAAGAGTGAAAGGACATACGGTGTAGCCTAAGAAGGCCAGATCCCTGCTACTAGTATCTGTATCAGCTCCAACAGGTTCAGTCGGTAGATCATCCGAATCTTCGGTTGGGAAGTAACTTGTGTCGGTCACCGATCTATCAACCATGAATCAACAAAAGCACTCAATGAATCCGTTTTTTACCCTCGGCCAGCAGAGAATACAGTACTTACTTCAAATGAGGTACGCAAGGCGCTTCTATGTTTCGGATCGTCGTCCAATCTACTCCTGAAAAGAATACATGATCCTTGATTTCTTCAGCTCCTTTTTTCCCTAAACGATGATCAGCCGATGTAATCAATCTTATTGTCATGAAGAAGGGGAGAGTCAGTATGTGTTTTTTCCCTCAGGAAGATTAAAAAACACACACCTTCGAATGAGGTCTTCACTCTCTCTAGAGAGGTGAACATCATCAGGGAAATAGAGTTCATGTCTCCAATCGATGATTTTCCTATAAGTTTCGTGAGCAGAGGGAGAACAGAAGGGAGGATATCCGACCAAGCATTCGAACATGATAGCTCCGAGACTCCACCAATCGCATTCCTTATTATAACCCTGTTGGAGGAAGATCTCAGGGGCAATATAATCGGGAGTACCGACGGTCGAGAAAGCCAGTTTTCTTCGATTTGCCTTGCAGGTCGCGATTTGATCCTTTTCGAGGACACCGTCAGATTGATCGAGGAAATCGCGACTGAATTCCTGTTCGGCGCCGTCGCAGCCCCACTCGTCGCATTGTCCCCCTCTAATAAACTTTGATAATACGCTGAATCATGCTGTTTATGGAAACCCGTCGAAAGGCCAAAGTCTGAAAGTTTCACATGTCCATCTTTGTCGATCAAAATTTTGCCAGGTTTGATATCTCTAAAAGAAATGATGAAACCAAACCATGGATAAGGTTAACGAAAAATGACAATGTAGTAATGTGAATGTGGGGGAGCAAGACTTGAAACTATCTTGAATTAGAAGTGAGGTCGTACCTGTGAATGAAGCCGAGTTTATGGACAGCTTCCAAAGCCAGAACACATTCGGACATATAAAACCTAGTGACGTCTTCACTGATCGTATCATACTTGATCATTCAACATCATCATCCGATCACCGGCTGGCAAGAACTCCATCAACAGATATTTTTTTTGTGCTTGTGTGAAGTAGATTGAAAAGAACAGAACCGATGGAAAGAAAGATTGACGAATCACCAACCTGATCTTTCTTAAACATTTCAGCTTTCCTGAGGGATTTCATAGCATAAATCTTCCCAGTGTCCACTTTTTGAACCAATCTAACTTCACCAAAGGCGCCCTTCCCGGATCACTTTGACCCTTCTGAATTCGGTCAATCCTAATCTGGTTTAAGAAGCTGGATTCTGTTCGACCCAAGTTAGCTAGTTGTCTCTGTTTTCGTTCTTCTGTGATCGTCGGATCTGCTGCTATCTTCTTTTCTAATTCTTGTCGACTGGGGGTTTCGATTGATTATATCGAAGATTCAGCTGATGATTTCGAGCAAGATGGTCTTTTGTTTTCTGGTTCGAGGTGGAGATCACTCACCGTTGATTTCGACTGCTTTCCGAGAAACATGTTCGATTTTCAATTTACAGGCCGTAGTTTTCTCGAGGATCGGCTTAGAGAACTGAGATGGATTACCGCTGAAATATACGTAGCTGTGACAGTTTAAACGGCAATCAGTTTTTTTTTTTTTTCTTCTTTTCTTATTATGAGGACCTTGATGAATTGCTCAACTCTTGATCTTTTTGTGTTGTTAACGGTGGGGGGTAGCTTAGCTGCTATCGATGAGCACGCTCTTTTCCGTAGCTCACATCCACCATCTTTTTCACTGTTTTTCCGGCTCGTACGGTCGGCAAGGGCACCTGAGCATGTCAGAAACAGCCCCGTGAGGCCTTCGAAGAACTGCTGCATCAACAAATCAGCTCAAGGTCAAGACCTGATTCTCTTTTTTATGCAAGTGAAGCCCTGATTCAGATCACGGTCGATATCAAGCACAACCATTCAAGTTCAGCTCGAACTTGACACAAGTCTCTGGCTGCGGGGGGCGCATCTGGCAGCGTAGCGCTGGCCAGGCGGTTCCCGAAGGGAACTCCCCCAGGGGAGACTTGGGCTAACTTGAGACAAGTCCCAAGCTTCTGCGGGCCTGGTGACCTTGGCTGGCTGGCGCAACTCGCGAAGCGAGCCTCCGAAGGAGGGACTTGCTAACTTATCAAAGTCCCACCCAGTTGCGGTTGGGCGTGCAGTGGTGAAGCACTGAACCCCGCCCGACCGCAGGGAGGGACTTATGCCTAAAGTGGGGGTACTCAACCAAGGCCACCCACCAAAAAATTGAAAAATCTATTAATCAATTTTTACAGACTGTAGTTTCAACACAGCCGGGCCCAGCTACTGGAAGGTAGGATCTACCTGACTCTGCTGATTTTTAGAGCTCACAAGCTTCAATGTCCACCAAACCATTGAATTTCAAATAAATTGTGAATTGAACTCAGATTCCTCTATCTTGCCTGCGGCTCAAGTCTTCCATGTTCTTGTTTTACAGTTTTGAGTTCGATTTTCTTGTAGGCAACACTTTCTGCAAAACTGAGTAGAGAGAAAGCAACAAGAGATGCAACTGCATCTTTCCTTTGCTGGAACGACATGTGTAGCTTATCAAATGAGGGAGCTACAGGTTGTGTAATACAGTCAATTGCTCAGATCCCCTCTGGTGAGTAGGGGCACTTTAGTCGTAAGTCCCTCCCTGCGGGAGGGGTGGCTTCGCCACCAGCCAGTGCTTCACACCAGCGAGCCTCCCACCAGGGGGACTTTGTTAAGTTAGAGGGACTTGTGACAAATACACACAAGCTCGCGTGTCGCTATTGACATGTTTTGGTGTAGCAAAATTTGGATTGCCCACCATGCATGTAATTTAACTTTTTTTTCAGGCAGATCCAGCATGGTCAAAGTTGACCATGTTGCCAATCTTCTCAGCAAATTTTAGGGATTTTTCCTGAAATTCAGATGAGTAAGATTTTTTTGAAAAATATGAAAAATTGAAAAAATCAAAGAATCCAAGTTGAGTTCCGAGCCTTGAGAAGCTATTACATAAGCAAAAAGCACAAATCTGAGCGGAAACTTTCACAATTACAAATTTTCTCTAGAATGTAGTTGTAAATATTTCTGGATATTTCCTTGATTAAAATTGACTTTAGCATCTGGGGCATGCTGTCCCAGATTTTTCCCCTACAAAAGTGTAGAAAGTGATACATTAGAATTTTCTGCGCCAAAAACACCCCAAAAACGCGAAAGCGACACGCGGGTGTGTTCGTTTTGGTCACAAGCCTCTCCCGCACTTCGTGCGTTCGACGGAGAGGCTGAGCAAGCTAGAGACTTGGGCCAGAGGTCGACCAACTCAGGTGCTGAGTTTGGATTGTTTTGGTGGGAGCGTCACAAGATTTGAAATCCTGACGCTCCCTCAAAACTTTTTTGATGTTTGGTCTCGGATTATTAAAAACCTGCCTGATCTTATTGATCAGGCAAAATTTCAAAGTTTTAGAATCACAAAAACAATTAATAATGATTTTATCAAATCAGCATTTGAGCTTTCTTTTACGCTGACATAAGCGGTTTGATGAACTCGCACACGCCAAAAAAGCTCGACTTCAGTTGAAAAGTTGTCATTTTCAAAAATAACTACATCAAAACTCACAACATGACACCAGAATGTGAGCAGAGGGAAGAATGTACAAGAAGCAGACCCTCCTTGGGCCACAAGTAAACTAGATAACAGTGGAAGAAGAAGAGCATAGGCAGAAAAATGCACAGAAAACTGGGTTTCAAGCCTAATTTTGAAAACTCAGCACGCGGGGATTGCCGCATCTGTCTTAGGCCTCCACTGGCGTGGACAGCTCCGCTGCTCGCTCCCGCTCCCGCCATGGAGGCCTAGTTAGGCTCGAGTTCAGCTCGATCCTGATCAGCCCCCATTGACGACCGTTCCGCCCAAGCTTCTTTGCGATCGAAGCAACCAGGGCACCGAGCCTAACTCGAGCTTAACAAAGCCTCTCCTTCGCCAAAACAGCTGGGCGGGAGCGGGGAGGTTGGCTCCACGTGAAATTTCACGTTGCCCCGCGGTCGGTCGAAGTCCGTGGTGTACAAGCTCGTCGGTTTACGCAATTCATGCTCGCATTGCCCTGGAAAAAGTTTGTCTCTCCTGCACACAGCATCTACTCCAATAAAGCTAACCTGACTCTTCATGATGCGGCACCGGCTAACTCGATCACCAACTCGGATGATTCATGAAGATTAAGGGCTAGCTACTAGATCTAGTACTGCCACTGGCTCTGAATCTCTCACTTGCTCAACCTCCACAGGACGACTTCAGTCTTGGACTAAATCGATGGCCTGACTTGAGCACACCCAGTTATTTGGGGTTGTCTGTTTGATGAAAGCTTCCTGAAGCTGGGTGGGTTGTTTTGAATCGGGTTGCTTGTTTTTCACAATGATTTTTTGGATGGTACCTTGTAAATCGATTTCTCGTAAAATTGGCACTTATGGACTCTACCATACGAGCGATTCTTTGCTTGATTTGGAAGAACTGCATCTTTTTCTCTTTCTGTTGGACGCATGTTTCGCCTCTCCAGCGGGGTAATTGTTTGATAAATAGGCTGCGATGGATTGTGAGCATTCATTCTAGGTCTGATGGACAACAGTATGGATTGATCTCACAGTTGTCGAAGAACAACATGTTGCGGTGAGGAACACATACTTCGCAGAAACGCTGACTGTCGCTTGGACAGAAACTACAGCAGATCAATACTAGGTTACTGAGCAAGCAAGAGGGCCTCGTCGACCTTCATCAAAGCATCGACGGCCCCGTCTTGTCGCCATTGGACCAGATCGATAGCCTCCTGCCGTCTAACCCATCGTCGCTCTCGTTCGTGTTCTTCTGGCCAGGAACTGGATACGCCTGCTTCACCTTCATCGACCTTGATTAGCCAGAAACTGTACTCTGCCCTCGGGATGAAAATCTTGATCTTCTGGATCGCTCGGTGGGCTTTCGGATCGGATGAGACGTGGAGTCGGTCCCCAAGCTTTCCTCGGATTCCTCCTTCGATCCATCCGCAAATCAAGCCGTGAAAAAACAAGCAAAGACAGAAAAAAGTTACTTAAGTGCATGAACGAAACAATCAGTCTGTGAAGAATTCCATACCTTCCTCCCAAGCCTCTCTGAGAGCTGCCAGACCATGATCAGAGACCTCCTCCTTTTCTACGCCGCCTTTAGGAAGCACCCAGGAGCCAAGATGCTTGCGGGACGACACGAGGAGATATTCGATCTGAGGCATTCCATCATGAGCCGTCTTCGATCGATAAGCAACCGCCACGGCAACCTGACGCGGGACCGGCAATGGTTCTGAACCGGTTTCGTGTGTTGAGCCACTGATCATCTCTTCTGATGGTTTTTTACACTTGCAGCTGGTTGGTTGAGTATGTAGCCAGTGATGGACGCGCAGTGGTGTTGCAACCGTCAAGAGTTGCCAAGCTTCAAACCCAACTTGATGCTATGTAGCTTGCTCATCATACTTTATCCCTGTTGTTATCAGAGACTCTACACACTTAAACCCTGGCATAGCCTAACAGACCAGAGCCGAATATAAAGCTTACAGAAATTGGTAGAAGATAATTCGTATTTTCTGTATGTTATGTGCCAATCAAACAGATGTTGGTAAAAAAAGCAATGCAAAGTAAAGTAAACTAAGGAAATATGGAATACTTGAAAAGAAGACACGTCAATCACACATTTTTTTTGGGCCAACGTTTGTTTTTTGTTTTGTGACTCAAGAATATATACATATAGAACACATGTAAACTGATTTCCAACCACAATTTAACGAGTTCCTACAACAGTTGTGAAATAAATATCTTGATAGCTTGCAATTGTCTTATAAGTTATTGTTTTAAAAACAGGCCAGACGTATATATATAAGATTATTTATTACCAGTATATCTAAGTTCAAAAAGAAGTAGAGAGAATGAGAGAAGGGAGAACAAGCCAAAAAGAACAAAAAGAGGACAGAGTTTATATGAAACAAAGGGAGAGACCCCACACAAACATATATAGATATATATATATGTAGAAATATAGATAGAGTGTTCCAAAGGAAAAGAAAAATATGTGGTGAGGCAGGAAGTAAGGGAAGAAGAGGGAGAAGGAGAAGGGTTTCCAATATGACTAAAATTGAGTTCAAGGTGTTAGGTTGTTCATGATCTTGTCAGCTCATACAAACACCACAAACACCAAAGAAAGTTGGGTAGTTTGGGAGGTAGATGGATAGATAGGAAGGGATAAAAAGCCTCAGAAGATAATCAACATTTTTGAAATTGATGTATCTTTTTTTTACTTTATTAATTTTGTTCAAGGTAGAAAAAAAACATAAAGACCAGCTAAAACCCCCTTCCATTCGGTGATGATGATATTTTTTTCAGCGATTTCTTTATTTGGTTTGTGTCGATTCATTTTTGATGTATGTAATTTTTTGGAGAGAGGACAAAAAAAAAGGAGGAGGAGGAGGAGGCAAGTTATGAAAAGAAGGTGACTATGTATCAAACCAGATCAGAAGCGTCAACAACAGAAGAAGGATCTTCATGATTCCCCTGATTATTATCGGGGATAGATTGTTGTTTTTGTTGTTGATTAAGATCTTTTAAGCACCGTTCGATGCTATCGATGATTTCTTGTCTAGCTTCAGGTTTGCCAAACTATTCCAATGCAGAAAAAAACAAGAGAACTCAATAGACATCAAGACATATACCATTTATAAATAATGAGGGGCGTTTTTTTTGTTTAGGGTGAAGTTCAGAGCAAAAAAAGAGGTGGATAGTCACATACCCGACATAAGTATTGTTGGAATTGAGTTTTACCAGGTTCTCCTTCGTTCTCGGCCGGTGCTGTCGTTCCAGATCCCGATCCGGCCGAAGGTTCCAGTGCAACGGTAGAGGCGAAGGTGAGGAACTTATCCTGAGTTGGACGGTAACTGAACCCATGAAAGATGGGCACGTTGAGCAAGACTCTTAAGACTGCATCGGCTCGCATGACTAGATTGTCATCCAAATCAACACAATCAGCTCAATGTCATTTTCTTGCTTTTGGCTGCAATGGCGTGGGCTTTGTTAAAATTGACCACCCCAAAGTGCTCTTCTCAAGGACTCGAAAGATCTGAACTGCTTCTCACTTAATCTGTACCGATACGGTTCCTCCTTGGTCCGCAATAACCGGAGGCCACCCGTGCCTCTTTCACGCCACGATTGATCCTCTCCCAAGGTGAACTTCATACAACGGACGCTTTTGTCCAACTCTGCGTTTTCTTCACCTGTAATGACTGAAGCAAATAAAAATAAAGAAGTGTTAGATGAGAAGAACAGAATAAAATTGTTGTCTTTGAGAGAACGAGGGATGAAGGAATGCTAACCTTCAGTAGCTAAGAATCCTTCATGTTTATCCTCTTGGCCTAGCTCAGCGGATAGAGCCAAGTGAGTCTTCCGTTCTCCAGTTTGACCGCCACCCCATTCAGAGACCGGGTTCTGTTGGGATTCAGGTTGGGAGGGGTGGGATGGTTTTGAAGATGAAGGGGGTTGTTGATCGAAGACGGAGGGAGAGGATACGCGACCGTCGGACCAATCAATAGTCGGTTTAGCGGACGAGTCGCCAAATCCGGTGGAGGTAGCGAAGGCCGAGAAACCCAAGGGTTTGTTGTTGCTGGCTTTTTGCGCTTCCGAGGGAGGGATGGCGGAGGGGATTGTGGAAGATGCTGAATCCTCGTTTTCGCCGTTATCGGCACAGGCCGAGCTTGCCTTGGAGCTCGGTGGGTGGACGTCGAGGAAGGTGGAGACGGTTGAGGATTGGACCGAGGTGGTATGGAGGGATGGGTTACTGTTGAACTTTTCCAGTGCGGCCGATCGTAAGCTGGTCGGAGAGAGCGGATGGTTGCGTTTGGAGGATGAAGAGGATGGGGGGCAGGAGGCGGAGGAGTTTACGGGTGGGGGTAGCTTGGGTTTCTTGGACTGACTTGCCGAGTCCTCGTCGAGCTCCGGTGAGGAATCGGCTACGGAGGTATTTCGCTTGCCCTTGAGGAAGAAGTCAGAACCGGAAGGGAATTTGTTTGGACAGAGTGAGTTCGTGGCGGTCTGTTGGCCGGTTAAGGAGAATGCGGGTGCGGTTGAGACTTGTTTTGGAGGTGGTGCTAGTGCACGCGCAGGTGGGTTTGTCGAATCTTCTTTTGCTGATTGATCTGATGGTTGCGCATATGACCAGGTCGTGGTTCTCGGCGCAAAACAGGCGAAGGGCGATTGTAGATCGGCATAGGCATCCCACGAGGCAGGCTGAAGTCAAGACGAAGCATTTCAGTGACCGTCTTCAAGATCTTTCAATATTGATATGATAAGCACTCTTACCAAATCTTTTCCTTTAGTACTCGAGGTAGGGGAGTTATCAAGATCGTTCTGTTGAGTACGAGGGGTTGAATGGGTTTTTGGGTCGGATGCGACGATGTTTGCCTGTTCGGTTTCGACTCCCATTCCTTCGACCTGCTCTCTGACTGATTTGACCTCGTGAGCTTCGGTTGTAGTAGTGCTACTACTCTTCTGATCGGTCATCTTCTACTTATAGCCTCCTCTGTTGGTTTGTTGTTGGTTAGTTGGTTGCTGGTTTGTTGGTGGGTTTTTCGGCGGTTTTCGTGGTTTTCTTGATGACGATGACTGGCTTAGTGTGTGTTGGCTGGGTGATTTTATAGCTGTGACTGGCGAGTCGGCTGTTGGGTTTCTGGCCAATCGATCGGAGGTTTCTGCCCCGTTTCGCACATGACAACCTTCACAGTCTCACCCTTCTTGCCCAAACATCACAAAGCCTTCACCCAAACTCATGCCTTCACTCGTCGCCACATTTAAATGATATTTATGTACTCATCTTTACCACTTCGCCAGAGCTCCGGCACTGAAATTTTACTCAGCACCTTATCAATTCAACCATCTTCAGCTGACCATCACCGATCTGTGCTCTACCACTTCATTATCAAGAACTGGCAAGCAGCTATGATCAAGCAGCCGGAAGAACGATTTACAGTTATCTCAATAGGAGGAGGGCACTTGTTTCGCATGGCGCAGAGGCTCTCCAAAACTTGGCTAGGAGAATCTGCTATCAAGCTGGGCTTCTACCACGCACATTTTTAATTTTATTTTTGCTATCTATGTTCATCTCTTCTGAAGTTGAAGGATGTACCAGTTCTTACAAACCATGCCCAAAACTACCTTATTCAAGTTCCATATTTTTCATTAGATTGAGATTGCAAATCAAAACAAACTGATCTCAACTTCAATCAGAGCCCCAGGAGGAATTGGAATCTGTACATGACTTCACCAGAATTCATGATTGTTGCCATTTCTAATTCTGGGCCCCTGCCCTTTTCCTTCCTTCCTTTTTTCCTCATTGGATCTTATTTTATATTCTCTCTCATCAATCAACTCAATATTTGTCTCTGTCACCTGAGCTTTTTACTTATGATTATAGATGGATTGAACCATCCCTATTTCTTTCAATTGTAATATTTGATTCCACAATCCCAATGATGTTGATCATGGGAACTAAAGAATTTATCCAATTCTGATTGTTTAGAGATTGATATGACCAAAGATAGATATAGTTTCATATATGGATTCAAAATCAAGGTTCACAATCAAACAAGAGCCATCTTTGAGGCCTTTCTGGAAAAACTTATAAATTTTCACAAATACGTGAAATTAAACTGTTAATTGTGATAACATCACATAGAATATGTATTTTTTTCATAAAAGCCTTAAAAATGGATTTAAGTTTCATTGTGAAACTACATGGTAAGTAATCAAACTTATGTCAAATGATGATGAAATACTGGGTAGAGACCAACTTAGCTAACACCCTCTATTGGAGGGGAACATTGTCCCAAGGCACCATTTCTACTTTTTTGCTAAGGTCTGGGGGAAAGAATGTGTGGAAGATGTTGGAGAACCTTCCCATATCTTACTTAATTTTTTGGGCCCTTGAGCAGAACTCAACTGTGAAACCTACACCATTCACAGATCTGACACAAGTTCACAACTGTCACACATCTTTCACAAGAATCAACTCTACTTAATTTATTGTTCCTCCTCCCCTATCCTAGCCCTGTAGAGCTCTTCTACTGTCTCTATCTCTGCTAGTTATGTTTCTCATCTTCTCCTCTCAAGCTTTGTTCCTTCTCATCCTCTTTCTTCTTCCTTTCAAAAACATTGTACTTAGAACAGTAGAGGAACACAGACCTAAAAGCATAATCTTGTTCCATTATGTTTTTCAAAAATTTGTCTTCCAGCTATATATATTATAGGCGACTAGGGTTTTGTGCAAGAAACACTAATAAAATTCCAAGCACAAGGGGAAATATGAAAGAGGATTGTTTGGTAGAAAAATTAAGACAATATTAAAAAGAGTTCATGCCATCTTGTTCAGTAGGAACCAGAGATTCTTAGAATTGAGCCATGCTTACTGATGAAATAAATCACCTTGATCTTGTGGCAGCCTTAGTCAATCAAGAAAATTAGAGAAGGATAACAAGATTTCTAGGTGTGCCATAACAATACATACACATTTTAATTAGTAGAATGTAACTCAACATATAGACAGATTTTTCAAAAATAAAAGCAGTTTTAAAATGGTAATATATTCAAGGCAATCTGGGAAGAAAATTAAGAGGATAATAGGAATAAAATTTTAGGGTATTCAGAATTACTTGAGTATTTTTTTACTTATTGAAATAATATGTGATTTTGACTGGGACATGTCAGAACACTTAGAATTCAAATTGACAAGTCCCAGTCAAGATTGCAGATTATCTCAATAAGCAAAAGCTTACTTATCTAGGACATTTTGAACACCATACACTGCAAGAAAAAGTTGCACAACTGTGTGCAGTTGACATGTGATTTTTCACAAAGGGACCTTCACAATATTGCATGTCAACTGTGCAAAGTTTCACCACTTTGCCTTGCAGTGATATTACTGTGTGATTTATTTCCCCTCATTGGTTGCAAAAGCTCAGAAAGTCTCATTCAAAAATCAAGATTTACAACTGACAGTAGCAAATGTGCAAAATTCTCAGGTTTTGGTTTCATTTTGTTTTATGGACTTAACTTGTTCCAATTTTAAAACATCTTTCTTATTTTTTTCTTCCAAAGTCGAAGCTTCTAAATGCAATAAAAGCAGCACAAAATTCTACTTCGAAAGTATCGCACAGAAATTTTCCATTGAGTGAATTTTCAAAGCCTTGAGCCAAATGACCCAGAGACTCAGACTAGCGACGCAAACAAAACAGTATACATGGAAGTCTCCTCACAGAGATGCTTTTCTGGAAGATACCGAGAGGGAAGGGCTAGGTCGGGTCGGCTAGAATGCAATTGCATAATTGTAACACATGTGGACTGGTATTTTAAGCGGGTTAAATAAGGTGCAATCTGCCGATGCCCCTTTGTCATGATCTATCGGTGCCATTTTGCTTTACTAAAAGAAAATGGCACCGATAGATTATGACAAAAGGGCATCGGCAGGTTGCACCTTATTTAGTTTTAGTTACTTATGGATCTGATATTTGTATCCGGTTGAGTGCCCGCTTGCCCTCGTTGAAGACCGCTGTACCTCTGGGAGCCTATGGAGCTCTCAGTCCCAGTTAAAGCGAACTAAGCAAATGAAAGTGTGCCCTAAGAATTGGATAGTAGATGGAGCGCTTCTCAATTTTCCGTGTTTTCTGTATGATGGAAACTAAATTTCTCTTGCATAGCTCACTCTTATAATCACTCCGCCTGGGGTTACGACCTTGGCCAGGCTCTCCTTTGACTGTAAGGAATATTTTCCGTCGAGAGTCATTACTCAGCCGAGAGTCTTCATTTCTACCTCTTCCATGTCTATAAATTGCACGGCCTCAAGCCTGTTTGAAGTTACTTCTCCACCACCCAACCCGTCCCTTCAAATAATCCTCATACAAAAAACTCTTCTTCATAAATACCACTTTCAATCCCGCATTTAACTACCTCACTGAGAAACATAAAAGTTATAATGTCTTCAGGAGTGAGCAGGTTCTCCCGTCAGCTGTGTTAATACATCCAAAAAAGCTGATTGAATATTTTTGATTGTATCTTCTACTTTGCTCATTGACAGATAATCAACTCATCGATCATCGCCGAAATTGCACAGCATGGATACGACCATTTGGAGAGCGTTATTCGGTCATATTTATCGCGGTCAATTCCAACTATCAGGGAATTGGAGCGGCTTGTGTAAATTCCCAAACTGCCCTTTCATATCCCTTTCTTCATTTATTTTTCATTTGTTCCACTGCTCTTCTCTCTCCGGGAATCAATCGAATCCATCAGCCTTTGGATATTGACTTGATTCTTTACGCGTTTCCACCCCATCCTATCAGCGAAACATCTGAATACGAAAGATTGGCCGAAGAGGCCAATTTCCTAAAACGAATCGTAAGTCGCTAGCTAAAAGTATCATAGTATCTGAAGTCAATTGTTCCTGAGTGGGATAGGTGTTATTTTGATTCTTATCACATGTAGGCAGCCTCAATGGGAGTGACCCGCGTGCATGTGCTATCCACCAGTATAGCCATACAATCGAAGAGCAACCCACTACGTCACGAGCATCACCAACTCGTGCAAAAGATTCGGCTCCTTCAGCGTCAGAACTCCCGCGCTGAGGAGGAGCTACTTCACATCCTATCCAGCCGAAGGCGCCGTTGAGCAGGTTGAAGAAAATTGGTTGATTCTTTCTCTATAGTGGGACTTTCGGATTTCTTGTAAATTATTTTTTATCCCTTCTTATCTGTGTAGTTATGTTGGATAAGTATCTTTTCGAGCACTTCCCTGTATCTGTCCTAGATGACCCTTCAGCGGATAATGATCAAATTTAATATATATATATCTTTGATGATATCTGGGCATCTAATGCTGTGTCAGTGTTGAGCAGACAGTGAAACATGGGGATGTGCTTTGGGATAGCTTTAAATAGGAAAGACTATTGAGGGAAATATTATCCAAATGACTATGTGAATGTAGCTGGGTGGTTCGGACAAGTCTATCGATTGCGGATTGGTAGTAGCAATAAGAGGTCATGATCAGGTAGCTACGCGGATGGCACCGCTAGGAGGCCAGCTACGAAACGACAGAGATGGACGGCTGGCGCCAGAATGTGGTTTGCGAGGCAAACAACCTTTTGAGTGACCCAAACCATTCAATCCTTGAGCGACCACAAAGGTTACAGTGCACAACATAATGGACCTTGGGGCTTTACTGAGCCAGATAGTCCTCAGTCTAGCAATCACTTCTTCCCATGTAAACAAACTTTTCCTTTGAGTCTTTGATATAATTTCGGCAATCGTCCAAGCCAGTTATGAATTTGTATGATAGTTTTTCCAAGAGAACAAAGAAGAAACAACCGTGGGTTTCGAGTGGTTTCCCGGATGACTAGTCTCAACTTCTCCCAAGTCCATGTAATATTATGAAGTAGTCATAGTAGTCAATTGCTCAGGAGTGAAATGCACTATTCAGGACTCTCCGCGGAGTCGTTCCAGAGTGGTATTTATATTGTAGATCAGCAGGAGAGCGAATCTAGGAATGTCGAAGAAACCTCTGAAGGAACCAAGACGAACATCCTATGGCCACCCGTCGTCGAGCCTCCATGTGACGCAAACATGGTCAACAGGCAATCTGTCTCAGTGGACAGACAGTTTGGGTTCGGATATTACCGTGCTTGTTTTTCGATGAAAACTGGAAGATTGAGGTTGACCGGTGCATGCAAAGGTTCAGCAGCTTGATCATGTTAAGGACTCAGGAGCGTCCACAAACATGAACAGCTAAACTGTAGTTTGGTTGCTGCCTGGGACTAGTCCCAGCCCCAAGCCCTGAAACAACCATGAGGGTCACGAAGCCCCATTTTTACAAGGTAAACTCTGGTGCCTTGCAGTCAAACAACAGCTCAACCAGTCTCTGTACGACTGAGGAGTCAGCTTTGGGTGGTATACCTGCCCCCGCCTAAATGTCATTAGCTTGATGTTTGATTAGATGGATCGTATTTATTTCGCTGGGAAAGGAATGTGTACTTTGGGCTGGCTGGTGGATTTTGTGAGGACTCCGGCTACCCTCGCCGTACAGGTCCCATCCCCTCAGTCCAAATAGACTGTGCTAGACACTTCTTTAGAAATCAAGGAAAACGGAAATGACCTCATGTTTTGGATTGCAAATTTATTTTGTAAAATGATCTTGTGAATCCAGAATTCAGTTGAGTGGCACATGTGGAAGATACACAGGCCAATCGAATTCCTGCCTTTGTAACGTGAAAATGAGGTACATACAAACTGAATTTCTGTTCATTAAAATCGGCATATTTATCTTCAGAGTATGTAGCGGAAGACTTCCCATCAACTTTACAGCCCCCTGTAAAGCTGTTTTTGCAGGCTGTAAAATGGATTTCCCAGAGAAGAATTAGCTTTCCAGCCTATAATTCTAGCTTTCCAAGGCCTGTAAAGCTGAAGGGAGGTCCTCCAGTTTTTGCTTTCCAATTGGGATAAAATACTTCTGTCCTGTTTTTTTTGTGACTGTGTTGGAATTTTTCCACTTTCCCACTTAATTTTCTATGCTATCCAGTTCTGCTCCCACTCCCTTTCTGTTGAAACTTGGACCAATTAACAGGGAGGAGTTTTTGGATGAATTTTCGGACAACAAAAAAGTTTTTGTTGGAACAGCTCAAAGTGGCAAAAAATGAAGGTGAGAACTGATGGGGTTCATTTCTTGTAACTAACTATGTTTAAATAGACTAAGTACAAGATGTTCAGAAAGTGGTTGTGGAGAAATGAATAAAGAAACAATAATGAATAAACAACAGACTGAGAGGAAATTAAATTCAGTGTTGATGAATCATGAGAGACATTATTTATTTATGATAGCTCTACTTGATAAACAACAAAAGAAAACAAGAACCACATTTCTGATGAAGATGTTAGTTTCATCAGATCAATCTCAACACCATAACTTTAAGAATAATTAGAAGATAAGCATGGAGAAGAAAAAAATTAACAACTAGGGATTCAGGGTTCTTTTGACTACAAGAGTTTGATGTTTAATTTTCATGACTTGCTACTAGGCAGACTATATAATTATTAGTAGTTTGGTGAAGTAATGTAAGAAAGAGGTATAAAAGAATTGAGAAGTAAAGGAGATGAAGAAGATGAAGAAGGGAAGAGTCGAATTTCCAACACTTTCTGCTCTCAGTCTCCATGTTATTTCTCTTTTTTTCTTCTTTACTCTCAAAACCTAATCACTCCTTCAAAAACATCGCCTCCGCCTCAACTGCTTGGCCTGTCCTCCACTCCATTCAACAACTCCAATCACCCTCAACTCATTTGACAATTCCCTCCAACATTTCTCTTCAACTTGACTTCTTTTCTTCCCTCATTCTCTATCTCTTATTCTTGTTTCCCTTCTTGTCCACTCTCACTGATTTTGACTCCATATCCCCTCAAATTTGGTACAACCATCACTCATTCTTGTACCTCAAACTACTCACTTGGCTCTTGCCAAATTGATGAGAAAAATCTAATCAACTCCTCTAATCTCATGGAATAACATTGACATTTTTTCTTTCTCATATATTTATTTCTTCTTGTTTAACAGTGTCTATTATCTCCCATTTTTTGATCTCATATATTCCAGTCTTCCTGTCCTATCTAAGTCAAACATCAGCTCTAATTGAGGTGAATTTCTTTTCTTTGTTTTTATGATTGTTTCTAATTTTATTTCTTGAAAAGCTCCTATTTCATCACTATGGGCATTTATGTGGCTATATTGGGCATTTATGTCACCAACACCGCAGCCGCTATGCTACATAATGATCCAAAGTTTAGAGAGAGGAAAAAGTTGGATTGGGATTGGAATTGAGTTTGATTTCAGTGTCTGTTTGCAGGGTTGATCTGGTGGATGACACATTCTAAACCTGCTTGAAAACAGCTGTTGATCACTTTTTTCAATTTTTCATTTAAAATGAAATTGTTTGGATCCTGATTTTTTGAGATACTTTGAAAAATGATTAAAAAGTACCAAAAAAGCCATGAAATGAGGAAAAATATACATTTATACAAGGGGATTAATAAACGTACCCCCCTTTTCTGCTATTGACACCTGGTTTTTCACACCTGTTTTTCTGCTTCTACACCCGGTTTTCCCCAGCCTTTTTCATTCTTTTTTTGGCAATTCTGAATATGCTAAAAATCTTCTAAAATTGATCATTCTTTTTGGGTATATAAAAAATTCTCAAAAGAGAACTTCAATTTTTTTTATTTTTCTCACCAATTTTTCCCAATTTTTTTTGACCCTATGAACTCTTGAAAACTTGAGTTAAACAAAAACTTATTATTACTTGTCAAGTTTTTAATTTTTCTTCTCCATACAGATGGTATCATTGAAGATATTCCTTATTATGTCCATTTGCTTATAGCTCAAACCCAACAACATTGGGATTTCCAAAATGAAATCAAATTTGGTCCTTTATAAATTTCCCAAAGATTGGGCAAGATCAATGATAAATTTAAATGTACATTGAATTCTCAAAAACGCATAGGCAGAAAAAAAAACTTGATGAATCAGATAAATTAAAATTAAAATTTCTCTTTTGAGGATTTTTTATATACCCAAAAAGAATGATCAATTTTAGAATATTTTTATCATATTCAGAATTGCCAAAAAATTAATTAAAAAGGCTGAGGAAAACCGGGTGCAGAAGCAGAAAACCAGGTGTGAAAAACCGGGTTTGGATAGCAGAAAAGGGGGGTACGTTTATTAATCCCCTTATACAAAAACAATCCTATCCAAATTTCCAAATTTTAAGAATCATCCATCAGAACTCATTTTCAGAATTTTCACCTGGAAGAATAAAAAGCATTACATTGGTTGCCCTAGAGATGGCACCAAGTACTTTCTACTTGTTGCCTTCCAACAAGTACTTGCCTACGGGTGCGGGTGCAGGTGTGGGTGTCTGAGATCTGAGAATTTTCATGCAAGTAATTGTACAGTGGGTAGACAGTGAAAAGTGGCTGCTTATTTTAGATTACAGAGTCCCAAACCACAAACTTCAAGTCATGAGACTTGGTCAGATGGTGCATAATAGGTTCCAAAAAATGAATACAAAAAAAAACTTTCAAAATTTGTGAAAAAAAAGGGCCTTAATAAAAAAACACGGTTTTTCCGCATTTTGACGCGGTTTTGGCTGCGCGCAGCACACGCGGTTTCCGCATTTAGACACGGTTTTTTAATTAATTTTTTACGGCTTATTTTTCGAGTTTTTTTTGAATTTTTGAAGTTGTTTCCTACACTATAAAAGGCGTAGAATTTAATGGTAAAAACCATTTTTCATAAAAATGAATTTTGATTATTAATTATTTTTTTTCACTCATTTCTCAATTAATTGTTTGCATACATGTATGTACCTTATTTTTTATGTTTTTTTAAAATTTTAAATTTATTTCCTAGGTTTTACAATATGCGTAGAATTTAATGGCGCAATCCAATTTTTTTAAAACTCAACGGTTCACTTTTAATACTCAAATTACACCCATTTTTTCACTTAATTTTTTACAGCTTAAATTTCATCATTTTTTGACATTTTAAATTTATTTCCTACACTTTAAGACATTCAGAAAATTATGGTATCAACCATTTTCCCCAAGTTGAAAACTATACCTTGAATGCTGCATTTGACACATTTTTTTAATTAATTCCTCACTTTTTCACCTAATTGTTTGCATACATGTGTGTACCTTATTTTTTATGCTTTTTTGAAGTTTTAAAGTTGCTTCCTACATTTAAAAGTGTGTATAATTTGATGGTAACATCCAATTTTCTTAAAACTCAACGGTTCATTCTGAATACTGTAATTAGTCATATTTTTCAATTGATTTTTAAGAGCTTAATTTTCATTATTTTTGACATTTTAAATTTTTTTCCTACACTTTAAGACATTTTGAAAATGATGGTAACAATCACTTTGCATCAAAATAAAAACTGTATCTT